TAGATAAGCATTTATACATTAATGTATTTAGATAAGCATTTATACATGGATCATTTGTATAATATTGATAATCAGTATATGATTGATCATCTGGAAATAGAAAAGGTACATGTGTTCCAGTGACTAATAAATTCATCATTAATTGATGCGTTTGTTCTTCTGCTAAAGTTTCATCAAGCCATTTCCATAATAATGGTAAAATATTTGGATCAGCAGGACCACATATACCAAGATCAGGAACATATCCTGAATGTTCAATGATATCAAATCCATCATATTGAGAATGAAGTTTAAATTTTTCAATTAATTATTGCTGATGATCAAAGTCACTACGAGCTGCTGTAAAAAAAAGCTGAACAAAATGTATGGTGAAGTAATTCTGGTAAACATTTTTCATAAAATGTATTTTCTTCATTAACTTCTTTAAGAAAATTAAGATTAAGTGGATAAATACCACAAAATACATTAACAAGACTTTTTAATATATAAAATGTTGCTAATGATGCAAATGTACCAACAGAATTCATTTAAAATGACTTTAATACTGGTGTAATATTTGTAGCAGCAAGACTATCAAAAGTAAAAGTAGATTGTGTAGGATTAATAAAATTTTCATTCAATGGTAAAACATCAGTACGAATTCATTCTAAAATAATTAGAAAAATATGTTGAATAGGCTTTTTGTAAAGCAACTATTGGATTAGAAATATAAATAAGTGGTGCACGAATTGCTTCAGTAACCCTATTCACTATCGATTCTCCTGTATGAAATGACATAGGTACAATTGTTTTCCAATAATATGAAATTAATTCATGAAAATATGATAACACCATATTTGATGATGAATTTTTATATAATTGTGGTAAATGATAAAAGAGAATAGTTATTATATAAATTAGAATAATAATAGAAACTAATATTTTTACAATTTTAAAAAGAACATAATGTAAATCAGTATATGTTCGAGTATAATGATTTATAATTGACCAAATTGTACATCCAAGAAGAAAATGTGAAAGCAAAAGAAATAAAAATGAATATAAATGTGGAATGTATAAACTATATGTTGCTGTAAAATCTACTTCGAAGACAATTCTCTAATCTATATTACGACCTATTAGTAATTAAATAAAATTATATAAGTAATCATAGAAAAAAATCTTCTGTTAATAAAAGGAAAAAAGCTATGAAAATAATCATGAGATAATGATCATTGAAATATTTTTTGTTAACTCACGAAATGTTGACTAATGAAACTCTAAGTGTTTTGAACATCTAAATTTTATTTTATTAAAAAATATCCTAAGCAAATTAATTTATTAAAATTGAAGAAAATGGATAATATGAAACTATAAGTTCATATCTGTTATTGTCAACATAATAATATTACATGATGAAATAAGAATAATTAATATAGCATAGACTAAACCGACTAGAATACCATATAAACTATGTTGAGGATGTTTTCATCCAACATAAAATAATAAAACATAAAATAAGTAGAACAAAATAAGATCAGGAATAACAATAAGCCATATCCAAAGAAATGTTTTGAATGAATAATTAATTTTATTGTTATGATGATGAAATGCGAATATTAAATTTGCACAAGTTGCAGCAAAACATATTGATGAGACACCACTAGGAAGACTAGACTAAAAAAATAGATAAAATAAAAATAAAAGAAATCAATTTTTGATTTTTAAGATTATTTTAAAAAGATTTCTTATGTTATTTTAACTTTTTGTAACATAAAACAATTTTCAAGTCTGATAATACCTTTATGACAATTATCTTTATTCCAGATATATTCATTTAGTTCTACTATAAAAATACGATGTCGATGATATCGAAATATTGAACTAAATCTCTAAAATACGTACAAACTTCGCCAATCTATATGTCGCATCCTAAAGCAAATTCCATACATGATTTTGCGGAAACGCCCAAGAAATGCCGTGTTTAAAATTTTACAAAAAATATAATTATCAACCTGAAATAAAAATGAATTAAATCTTATATTTTTGTAGGTATTTAAAAAGATGTTGATCATGTCTAAGATGATCAAATATTGTTAAAATAGTTATTCTGAGGATTATTTTCCTTCAATTGACAATTTACTATTCTTTTTATCAAAAGATGCCTACTTCGTATAAAGAAAAAATTCTTTTTTGTCATAATAAAACTTCAAACTGTGAAAAGTAATTTAAGAAAAATTAAAAATTACAATATATGAGTTAGTATATATGAATTTGATTTCTATTAAACTTAATCATTGATTATGTAAAGATGTTGATCAATTAAATACTTATCATTAAAATAGAAATTTAATATTCGATCTGGTCAAATTATGACTGAAAGAATTAATATTTTAGAAAAAAAAAACGAAATTTTGTTGAAAAAGTCTATAGAGATTATATCAAGGTTTTATTTTAAATTCTTATCAATTACTTTATTGTTGAAACAAATTTGATGAAAACTGATAATATTTTACTAAAGATTCGACTTCACATAAAATGACTTAATAGTAATAGTTAATTTCATAGTTGATAATTCATTAATAATATTTTCTAATTAAATGTCATAGTAAAAGTAAATTCTAATGTAATAGATAATACATTATAAATTCACATTAGAGAATAAAGCTGAATATGAAGAAGGTCATAATTATTGTGATAAATTTATGTTGATCTAATACATTACTTAAAAATTAAAATGAGAATAAAGTGTAACAAATATGTTTGTTTATGCCATGACATGCATACAACCAATAGACACATCCATATATATATATATACATATAGAACAACGCAGTCATGCATTTAGTGGAAGCATATATTACGCATATACATCACCATTCCGATGCAATACTTTTAACTTTGAAAGAGATTTAAAAGAGAAAATAAAAAAACATGAACATTTAGTATCTCATCGTATTGGTGATGTACATGATATTGTTACATCTGAAGACACTTATCTAGTATATATTATTTGACGTTATTTTATTGGTAAAACAAATAAAAAAAATAGTCGAATATTTTCATAACGATATTATTTATTAAGAAATACAAACAGATCTAAAAAAAATAAGTAATACGTATTACAAATGATAAGAAAAAATAGAAATCTGAAAAATGACATGAATTATGTTATTTTATTCTTCACATAGTTTGTATCATACAATCAGTTTAATATTGAACATATTGTATATATGTGTATTTATGTATTTGAACTTTTTTCTTTTTTTTTATTACTTTTTTCTCAGTCTCAGTATATTATTAACAATGATAAGCGACACATTGTAATTCAGATATGTTGAATATGACATAGATCAACATTCTCTTCGTTTATCTTTAAATAATATTATGGAAAGAGTAAAATTATCGGAATAAGATCAGTGATAATTTACGTCGTTGTCTATCTAAAATTAAAATACAAACTTGAAATACATTGTGTACGTATTTTGAAATAGAGAATCTCATAGTAGCAATGTAGCAAGCTATGTATTATTTACTCTCTAATATAAATAAATCTATGAAAGAATTTTTTGAAAAGTTTTTCTAATTATTTCTTGAATAACCTGTTTAGAAATGAAACATAGACTACCACTAAGTGGATGTATTTTTATTTTTTTTTATAGATTGGCTGTCAATAAACAAAATATAATACTACTTTATTGACGTCCTATAATTCGTCTATGAATGTTATTTCTAATAAAGATCAATATTTTTGGTAAAGATAATTTTTATTATTATCATTTTTGAATTATACAGCGAATAATTTAATATGAATTCGAAGAATAATGAATTAAAAAATAAAGAATATAAAATGATTATAGTAGCCAAAAATATTAATCTTCGTTCTCATGAAAGGAAAAAAAGGAAAATGAAACATCAGATGTAACTAGACTGTACGACCCTTCTATTTGTAGAACTCATACGAAACAATCGAAGTTGATAAAGAAATAAATATTATTCATATATTTTATTACAACTTCAAGATAAGTCAGATAAAAAAGTATAAGAGTATACCATTAACAAGTTTGAGCTATTGAATGAGATTATATTGTATTATACATAATAAAAAATAATTTTTGTTTTAAGTATGATTAGTTTATTAAAACAGATAATATTGAAAAAGTACTGCAACAAATTGAATAATAGAAGAAAATTACAAGATTATATAAAGATTATTATAGTAATAAAATGAATATAAAGTACACTAATATTATTTTACGAAAAAAAAGATTCAAGCTAGATTAAATGAGAATAACATACTTGATATATAAAGATGAAATTAAAAAAGATCTAAAAGCTATGAAACTATGATTCTACATATTTCTTAGTTCATATTTATCAGTTTTATTACCAGTTTCATATTTTAAAACTTGCATCTAATGTTGATGGGGCTAATGATGGTTTTGTTGCTGGTAACGAAAATGGTGTTTGTGAGTGGGGATTTTTATTGCTGAACACTGTAGCCAGTTCAACAAGATTGCCCATTGACCAGTTGTTGTTATTGTTATTACTGTTGCTGTTGTTGCTTTTCCGTTTGAAGTATGATCGAATTGTACAATATAAAAATGTACCTATTATTAAAATTACAGCAAGAACAACCATATAACTAAGCCAATTCTTCTGCATATCTTTTAACCAAACTGCTGGTGCTGTTATAATATCCGTACCATTTTCCATGATTCTATTAGCAGATTTAACTGCTGTTTTAAGTGGATTATCATGAACCTTTGGCAAAGCCGAATCACCAATATTAATATTATTATTACTTCCATTGTTGATTTTTTGTTCGTATTGATTTTTATCACCAATAAGGATAGCTATATTTTTTTGAAAGTAGTATGTAATGATATTGAATATTTGAGTAGTAATTTTTTTTTATGAAACACTTACTCGTATATTACTCGCCTTTTATAGTGGATGATAGAGAGAAGAGCACGTTTCTTTTTTTTCTGATAAAATAAAAAAAAAGTAATTCAGCTGAATATTGATGATAATGGATTTCTTACTCTTATGAATCAAAATGGATTCTACATTTTACAAAAAAAAACTAATCTATTTGATACGGTTGTAAGAATATTACTGAAAATTTATTTTTGAAAAAAAAATTGCAATCGATACAAATGATAAAATAAGTAGACATGCACATTTAGAAAAAGTCATACTAATCGGCTAATGATTATTGTTAAGTGAATTATTATTGAGCAACTTGAAAGACACATAATTCTAAGTAAGATATCCTCCAGTGGAATCTGGTACATGATTTGGAATAGATGTTGCGTTGGAAACGGAATGTTCGTTAGATCTGCCAAATGGAGATCTGTGCAAATCTATATTAGCTAAGAGTTGTTGTCGATGGTAACGTTTCAAATATAGAAAAAGGATCGGTAGACTTGTAATCATTAAGATCAACATTATATTTATTATGATACCTGGATTATTAGCAATAACAATGTTTTGGAATTTTTTGGTAGCATTTTGGATTGTTTGATCTAGTATCGATGTTATGTTAAACTTTGAAGTGTCGATGAACCAAACATTATTATTATTTCCTGATATTCGAGCAGAATATTTAACAGATCTTGGAAATATTGAAAATATGGGACCCATAGCGAATATATGATGGCAAACTATAACAAATGAAAATAATTGTAGAGTTTAGAAACATCGTCGAATTAGTACTATTAGTTGCTATATATTAATCAAACGATCTTACTGAAGTATATCAGATATTCACAGTGTGAAAATAATATGAACAATTTCGTGCTTTTCTGTTTTATCTATCAAATAGTCTGACGCCTTTTTTTCATTCGTTTCTCTTCATTATATAAGACATTAATTGTTCTCTTTCTCTTCGTCTGATTGTGTTATATATCTATTTTTTCGTTCTCATCGTTCACAAGTGCAAGATATATAGTCAGATGACTTCAAAGAATACATGTTATTGAATAAACAAGAAAGTTGATAAATTATTTAATCTATTTTATAAATCTGTTGATTCATTTAAATTAGTATGGATTATTGAATGAAAAAAAACTACGTAACAGCGAAAAAAAACCTTGAACGTTATCTCATGTAGTTCATAATCATTTCTCATCATAATCAGGCAACATGTATAAAAGAAAATACGTGAACAACCTTGAAACAGATTTTAATGTAAACAAATCTATATCATGAACTGAAACTGTTCGTGATCAGCCTAATATTGAAGGACACACGCAACTAAGTGAAAGATAGTTACATCTTGGAAAGCCTGACTCATTTTTTAATTTTGAAAAGACTATAATTCGACTACAAGGTCGATGAAGAAGATAAAGAAAAAAAAGAACATTATCACCCTATAAATAAGGCGAACATTTCGGCAATTGAATCATCTTTTTCCATTGTTACATGCTATTGCTGACTTCTTCATAGATATCACATTATTAGCTTATTAATAATAAGCAAATTTTCTTATTTTTTCGTTGGCAAGTAATTCAATCATTATTATTATAAATTTTAAAAGAACAAATTTCTTCTTTTAAGATCTTTTCATATTATATCAATCGTATACTTTAATTTGTAAGTATATATGAGTCTAGGCTTGACTTAGAATATGATTCGCAGTACAGCGAACACGAGTGGCTCGAATGAGCACCACTATGATTTGTTTATATATATATAATGATAGATCAGATAAGAAGTTAGTAAACAAATGCGTAAAATAGAGAGGAAAAGCAATTAGTCGATAATAGTTTAATGAGCGTACTTTCATGTATATGTCTATTAGGAGCTAGTATAATAGCAGTACCTTTCCATAGTTGTTATCAGTTAAACCTGATGCATAGTATAGATTTTTGAGCAAATTGTTTTATATAATTACCTTGGTTTTTTATGCCAGGTCATGAAATATCAACGAGTGTTGTATACGAATAAGTTTACTTCAGAATTGAAGTCAAAACTACGAATTGTATGTTATGACAAACGACGATCGTTGAAAGGAAATGTTTATTATGTCGGATTTGCAACTGATGCGGATATAGCACATGCTGAGCATGTCTCTAAACGGTTACGTAATATTACATTAAAGCCATTTCAATCTCGTTCTGTTACTGAAGATCATTGTAAGCATCAGATTAATATATGTATGTATGAATAAAATCGTTTATCAATATCATTCGTTTCAGCATCAACATCACATACGTCATTTTTGTCGCCACTTACTACACTTAGTTTTCTTCCGGATAATCAATCTTCATTTATTACAACTCGATCAGAATCATTAAGACGAGTGAATGAAACATTAGAAGAACGTGCTATGCGAATACTGGGTCCTCGCATACTAAAAGATCAAAGTGTGACAATAACACCTACTGTGATCAATTCAGATTCTGATATAAGTGTCATCAAGAGTCCTGCAACATCAAATATAAAGAATAAAGAACAACTTATTAATAATATTCACTCGTGCTTGCGAGCTATGGAAACAGCACGAGGGGTGGCTGATGAAGTTTGTCAACTTTATAGTAAGATGTCATTATCTTAGTTAAATAACTAATTAATGATATTTATTTTAAAAAAAATAGAGCGAGGTAGTGATTGCCGTGTAGTATTGAAGCATTTTTTTCAAATGCATTCAACTGCTTTTTACTTGAAAGCGTCGACATCTGCCCAAATTAAAATTGCTTTATCAAATGGACTACGATTAACATGGTCAGATGTTGCCAAAAGTTTTGATGCTTTCAGAGCTGATGTTCATCATGAGCAATTAATCATGACAGAATTAACATCAGCAAGACATATTTTGGCGAAAATTGACTGTGCGACATCGATTGCCATGTCATCAAAATTAGCATATCAACTTACAAAACTCGCCAATTGATATTTTTTTGTTTCTTTTTTTATTAATTAATGCATGTGTAGTATAACAATTTTTCATTTATTCATTGCTTTATAGTATCGTTTATATATAGATTGAAAGTAATTTTTTATTAATAGTTAAATAGAATTCTCCTATAAAATGTCACATTGTAGCTAAATATTTACTAATTATATTATGGTTGAAATTATATAGAGATTCATTATAAAAAAAGTAACATCTATATTTAAAAAAATGTTGATATTGTCGTAGTAGCTTTCAACTTCGTTTGTCTATAGTTGTTTTATCGCGCTATATGAAGAGGAAAAAAAAAGAATGAGAGAGCCACTTCGACTAAATAAGAAAAAGACAATGTGAAAAGAAGTTAATAATGGAAGGACGAACAAACGTCTGGACGGACGATGTGTTAAATGATATAGACAGAACGAAAAAATGACCGCTCACTCGCTGATGACGAAATATAATTAAGCAATAGGATAAGAGAATACGAAAAAAAAGAAGTCATATAAATAACATTATTATTGATCAGCTGGATTAGACAAATGTCCAGTGTCACTTTTGACATTTCATGAAATTATTAGATGATTGTCAAATTTGTATTTTTTTCTCTGATATATCTTATATAACATTTTCTCAAAAATGTGTGATTTTTCTATATAGACTAATTGATTCATTTCTATGTTGCCAATATAAAAGTAATAAAATAAAATAATTTCTTGTGATAATCATTGTGAACTAAATCTAGATAAAATAATATTTGATGTAGAAAATTAAGTTTTAATCGGCAGTATTAGAAAAACAATTGCATCACATACTATTATAAATATTTTAATTTTATCTGTATCGCTGAAAAGATTTTCGCAAAGATACAATTTTCTTTTCTTATGAAGTCAATAGAGAAAGATGTAATGAAGGACATAAATGATGACATCAAATAGATGAATCGATTCTTTTAAGTGACTTTTTGATAAATAAATATCATAATGTATATTCATCGTTTGACTATTATAAATTCTATTTCAGATTGTCATTTATCTTTCTACTCAATAAAATATTTCATATATTTTTGTTCTTAAAAACTTAATCATCTAAGTCTAAATGTAAAGTTTTCGTTTTTGTTTAAGATAATTAGTTATCAGTTCAAATATGACAAACAATTTAAGCACCAATGATCTTGATACATCAAATAAAGAAATAGTTCCACTTTGTCAAGATATCGGTTATACCTTGATCAAATATCTTAATGGTTTGAATGTTATTAATTTTATCGAAGCAATAAACGATTCTGATCAATTCTATGCCATTGAAATAATTAGTGAAAAAGCATTCTATAAAAAATTCACGAAGCTTATGAAAAAAGAAAAGGTCAAAGTTGATGTTCCATATGTATATTGTTATTTGGATACATGGTCTATCGATGATGAAGGATATGTGCGTCCTACAGAACAGTTCTATCAAAGTGGCGCACCTATCTTACGTCTCTTTATTCATCCAACTTTTACTGATGATGCCTTTGAACATTTATGTTCTACGTACAAAACTTCATCGTTTCAATGTTATACTCGTTTAATACCCTTGAATATACATACATATGTGGGTAATTCAACTTTGGTTGATTTTTTCAGTTATAAAAATTCAAATGGTTACAATCGTGAACTGAATGTTTATGAACGGAATCTTTTTAAAGGTGTAATTTTAATATAATTTACATTTTTTTTCGAAGTGAGCAAATGAGGAGGGATATTGAAGAATAAATGTAATACGTAGGCTAAATAGATACGCGTATGAGAGTCATCTATTTAATCCATTAAGACATCACAATATAAACGGATATAGCACCGTAGTAGATATCGAACAAAAAATACAATCTATATCTGTTCAGCCACATATAACGAATAAGAAAAAGAACATATGTTGACCGCTTTTATAAATAATGTTCGTACATGACGTATACATGGACGGCGGAAAAGGAAGAAAAAACAATCAGTGATATCAGTCGACACGTAACGAAAAAGAAAGACAACATAATATTGACCGCTATTATAGATAATGTTCACACATGACGTATACATGGATGGCGGAACAGGAAGAAAAAACAATTAGTGATATCAGTAGACAACTAGAAAAGTTGATTGAGATATAAAAAGTGACAAAAAAACGCTAATATATAAGCTGAATTGAGTATTATATACCAAATCAAAAACTAGGAACTTAAATTTGAAAGATTAAATTTTGAAAATATCAAGTTGTGAAGACATTGATAAAATATAGAACAAATCTTTACATCTTCGATAACAGATTATACATTCAGTTGAATATGCTATCAATATTTTTTTTCTAACATAAGTGTTAATTTAGAATGTCTGTTCTTTCGATCGAACGAACATAATTCATTAAACAATCAATTATGTTTTGTTCAATCATTTTCTGAATTGATGACAAACTTCGAAAGTCGCTTTAAATGTTCTAAATGGCTTGAAGCAATTGATTTTAACAAATTTCATATATCGGGTGGTTGTATAGTGAATAGCCTTTGTAAACAACCATTTTCAGATACTACTGCTCAACAAGTAGATATAAATTTCAATGGTCATTCATTCCATGAATTCAACTCATTTTATGAATTCGATAATGATGTTGCCTTTACATTTTCTAATTTACAATCAATTATGTTGAAGAATGGTTATTTTGATATAGAATTAACAAAAAAGGCTAATGGTAGTTACATTATTATACTACCTTTCAATATTACATTACAGTTCAATTATAAAGATGTTCCTATTGGTACAGATCCTGTTAGTTATGTTCTTCATTCAAGTGATCTTGATATTACTCAAGTCGCATTAAAGGGTTAGACAAATCAGAATCAAGAAGAAAAATTTGATCTATTTCTATATAGGTTCTCAACTGTTGTGTACATTTGCTTTTTTACAAGCAGTTGCAACAAAATCATTCATTTGTTATACAATGCATGCAAACATGGAGAAAAGTATTTGTAATCGAATTATTCGATACTGCCAAAGAGGATTTACTTTTCTCGAACCTTATGAACTTAATAGTCTCTTGTATATTGATATTATGAATGGTACTATTCTTGAAGAAAGCAGAGAAGAAACAAGAGAAATAATGGATGAAGATGGTGAAATTCAAATAGTTACAACTACCTATTATCCACGTAAATGGCCATTGCCTAACATTGATACTTATCAACTTCAAGAGAATTTCATGAAGCAAATCTCTTCTCAGAAATTTTAATAGACATGTGTGTTTTTTTTAATTTTTTTGATATATATTCTGTATTTAATCGTTACAATATAGTTTAGAATTGTAAATTGTATTTTATATTAGTATAAGAGGTATATGCATGATAGTACTCAGTTTAAGTGTACATTAAATAAATAAAATAATCGATATATAAACTTTTCAGTTTCTCTACATCACGTATATTTAGATTACTCTGATTTTTTAAAATAACATAAAACAGTTATTCATTACATTTATATTATTATGTCAAACTCATCAAGTAAGAAAAGCACAAAAACTAATTAGTTGTTGTTGAAAAGAATATTTTTTATGTAGATAATTCCTTGGTATCAAATAGTCCATCAAAACATGTTAAAACGACAGATGACGCTTCGGTGAGATTTTATATAATTTTCTTTTTCTAAATTGTTTACGAAGAATTTCTCTAGATATCATGCAGTCCATCAAGTCGTACAGAAAAACGACCTGTACCTGAAGATTTAAATGTTCCAACAAAAAAGATTAAAGTTAATGGTGGCTCAACAGAACAAAAGCCTGTAGCACCTGTTGTTACAGCAGGAAGTCAACCAAAATTCATTAGTGCAGCTGAATTAGTTGTACCTCTACCCGAGATCAGTGACGAAGAACTTCTCGAAATGGCATTAGAGTTCGAACGTAAATATGGCTATTAAAATTTAATGAGATCATCAACAGACAATGAACAATATATGTTGTTGTTTTTTTTGTGTGCATGCGAATGCTTTTTTTTAATTTCTTTTAAGCACATCATATATTATTCAAGCTTTAAGTAGATATAACTATGCTTTTATAATTTTTCATTACAATCATACTTTTTATTCGTACTTCTAGATCGAAATATACGTTACGAACAATAAAACATTATACATATTTATGTTAATCTTATTAAAAAAAAGATAAGTTTGTTAGCTTAAGTAATACATTTATACTTAGCTTCTAGATATCTATTCAAAAATCAGTTTTATATATAAAAAGTTTCAGCTCTATAAATTATGAATAATTCTGATAGTACTTTTATTAAAAAGGAGAATGATTTATCATCAATTAAGTTTTTTGAATGGCCGATTGATGCGGATGACGATGAGCAATTTCGTGCTGGATATCCATATACGCCTGATGAAGAAAAGGAAATAGATGGTGAGACATTTTATACACCTGATGAAGAAAAAGAAATAAATGGTGAGACATTTTAATCTTGAAATAATTCATATTAAAATGCTCTCATTTTAGAAGAAATATGGTATGATGTATCATCTATTGAAAATGCTTTACCATCAATCATATCGAAGAATAGTAGATAATTTCATTCTTGTATGAAAATATTCTCATCTACTGTTTATATATTTACTAGATGAATTCAATACAAATATACAAGGTGATATTCAATCAACATCTCCATCATCTAGTCAAAAAGTAAGAATCGAATTGTATGATGTGGTATTGAATGATAATTTTGTTATTTTAGCAAGAAATCATGGATATAGATGCGAAACCATGTAAAGTTCAAAATTATGATCAACGTTTTACCGAACTTGCAAAAGAAAAAGGTGATTGTAATAATCATGATCAAAACAAGTATCATCAGATTCAAGCTGATATTGGTACTAATACCAAGTTCGATAACATATCAAACTGAATCAAGAAACAGTTGATGTTCCTGCAACTTCGACATGAACAAAAAATACTTTGTATTAAACCGAGATGTTTTTTTGCATGATTTTTACTGCTCACAATTATATATACTAGCATGTTAAATATTTGTTGTTATGCTTTTTTTTCCTTTATAATACACGAATCAATATTATTCGTAATAAATAAATAGATAATTATGCTACACTAATAATCAGGCGTTTTAAAAAATTGTATTCTATATTTACTTTTGAATAATAAAACATTAGTCAGAAATTGCTTTACTGTTTTCAATATAATCCTGGGTAATTGGAAAGTAAACATAAAAAAAACAAAAGAGATAGTATTAAATTAAAATATTTATTAACGATCTTATAAATAGTACACATAATCAGAATAAACTCCCTCTTAATAATTTTATTCTTTCTATTCAAGAACAAATAGGTTGAATATAAATTAATCGGTAACGTAAACATTTAACGTCTGTTATCTTTCGATCGTCTTTATTTTGTATAATTGAATATAAATATAAATATATATATATGTATAGCAAATTTAGTGTTGATCATATATGATATTCATAAGATTATTAGTCAATTACTTAAGATTGATTTCATTGAAAGAAGTAACTTAATCAATCTTTTTTTTCTAAGTTATACGTTTGATACTATATATAGATGCATGTATCTTGAAGATGTAAAGTATTTGTGAGCTTTTTCTTATTAATATAAAATAGTTTTGTTGTTTCCAATGGTCTATATTTATATTGTTCAATCATAATTTAACTGAATCGATTATTAAAAATATTAAGTTTGTCTTTTAAGAATAATGTTCTAGTTCACAAACATAATTAAAAGCTATTCTATTCATACTCATATTTGTATAAGCAATGGTTGAGTTTAAATAGAAATGAACTTCATATATTTAAATACATGTTGCACTTCAAAATCTTTTTTAAATTAACTTTTACAATTTTAATATTCATACAAATAGAGAACTTTTCCTAATGAAGTAGTCATTTATTGATAAAAAGAGTAGTGAATCATCAGTTGAACGGAAATAATTATCGCAATAACTCTTTTAATAATATTTGATCATACTATACATGGTAAACATTTTTTGTATACATTTATTAAATATAACAAAAAAAAATAGAAATATTAGATTTAGTTATTTTATTATTTTAGATTGATAATTGTATTTTAATGAAATTTTAAACACACGCTTCTTCAGCGTTTCCGTAACATCACATATGAATTTTATTTTAGGATGCGGGGTATCAATAGACGAAATTTTTAAGTATATTACATTTACTTTAATATTTCTATTAATATTAATCTAATAAAAACTTCAGATGTAAATTTATTTTCATGATACAACTAAATGAATGTACATTTAGAAGAAAGATAATCATCATAAAGCTTCAAAAATTTTCATGACATATAATATCATCCTTGTTTTCTTTAGTATAGTCTTACTACTGATGTTTTATCCATATGTCTTGTTCCTACTTGTGGTAATCGAGTCTTAGCATCTCATCATAATGGAAATAAGAATTTGTTTTATTCAATACATTTCCTTGGAAATGGGTTATATATTTATAACTTTTATTATTTTATGTTGAATGAAAATACTCTCAATATGGGTTATATGGTATTCTAGTTGGCTTAGTATATACTATATTTATTATTCTTCTTTCAGCATGCAATATTAATATGTTAACAGTAATAGATATGTACATATAGTTTTATCATATTCATTTTCTTAAATTCTAATTAGCCAGCACGTTACCGAAACTATCTGTAGCTAATCACGCACCTTCTAATCGAGATTGAGGATGAGATGAATATATATTACACTAGATGGTGAACGATATTATTCATCATAACAAAAACGTACGTCAACGTGAATCCTCAAGACTAAAATAGAATGATTCCGTTTCATATTATATATAAAAACGAACGCAAGGAAAAAGGAAATAGCTGAATCAAAATACTGAATAAGCAAATAGATTGACTCGATTTCATATTGTATATGAAAAAAATGAGGGAAAAAATGAAATAGCTATATGAGTTATATATACTATGATTTTCTTTTTTTTTCTTGATTATCATATATGTTGCATCTATCTATAGATGCATATATCTAGACATGCTTTATATTTCTCGTTTAGAAATAACTTCCTCTATTATTTATTATCATCAACAACAGCAACAGTAATAATCATAATAATAAGACACATGCTGATCAGATAGACTTCAGTTCTATCAACGATCTTTGCATGTTATATTCGATTTGATTCAATTCATATTCGAAAGCGAAGACAAAGGCAAAACGAATTTTTAAATGGTAATATATCTTATTATAAATACCAATATACATATACACATATATGTACTATGTCTATATAAATGAAAGAGACTGCGGCAATACAAAATAAAAGAATATTTTTATTTAAAGTTATTTTATATTTTTCTTCTACTATTACTTTGTATTATCATCATTTATTTTAACTTGAATAATATGAAGAAATTCTAAGCAAAACACATATGAGGAACAAACGAGAATTACTATAATATATAGAATTCTTTTTTTTTATTCAAGAAAAATAAAACTATACATTGAGAGAGTTTATATCAATGTTTTATTTAAAATATATGTAACTTAATATAAACATCTATTTCTTTCATATTCAACTATACCAAATTCTTATATATGACATGTAACAACTAAAATTTATTTCAAGACAAATAACAAACACATATACATATATATATATTATATAGAAGAATGAAAATATATCATATTATGAAATAATATATATATATAAACATAAGACAATCATCATTATTATTTTCCATTTCTTTATAAAATTTTACATGATTGTATTTTTATTTTCAATATAAGAAAACATAGACAAAATTTATATCTGATATAAAATAAAATTATCATGAATATCTTGTTTGTAGTTAAAATACATTATAAATTATATTCATATGAATATAGACATATATAATCAAATAGAAATAATATATAAATTTATTTTTTGTATTTTAGAAATCAGTTAATTCTATATATATATATATATATATGAAGATTATATATAGAAGTATATTTACCATTGTCTTTTGTAATTATATGATTGACTTTAATAAAACAAAATCAAGTAAAGAAATACAGTAACATTAGATATTTATTTTATATGTATTATATAGTTCAATTATGAAATGATAAATATAAAAAAAACAATTGTATTTTATTATATGACATCTATAGCGATAGAAACAACTGATTCGACATAGAATTATCTACTTAAAATTAGAATGAAGAATAAAATGAATTAAATTAGAAACATATAAACAAAGAACTTATAATAATAGCTGATATATATACATATATATATATATGGTATTCAATCAGTAAATAGATAGTTTAACAATTTATGTAAATAAAAAAATAATCATATATAATAGATATATATATACATACACAACTAGATATTTTATTTTATATCTAGTATTATAATACTAATGAAAACGAATCGGCTTATTTATTCGATACTTGAAACAAATACATAAATTTATTGATCTTCATATTGTATACGAAAATGAAGGGAAAAAAAAGAAAATAGCTGAATAATAAAATCGATTAATTCGTTCTCGAATTATATATGAAAATGAAGGGAAAAATACTGAAATAGCTGAACAAATCTTGAATAAGCAAATACATTGACCCATTTTCATATTATATATGAAAGTGAAGAAATGAAATAGCTGAATCAAAATCTTGAATAAGCAAATGGATTTACTCGATTTCATCGTATATATGAAAATGAAGAGGAAAAAAAGGAAAATAGCTAAATAAATCTCGAATAAGCAAATAGATTGACCCGTTTTCATATTATATATGAGAATGAAAGAAAGGAAAAAGAAATACGTGAATGCATGAAACCATTAAGCAAATGGATTTGCTCGTTTCACGGTATATATGAAAGGAAGGAAAGAAAAATACTGATATAGCTGAATAAATCTCGAATAAGCAAATACATTGACCCATTTTCATATTATATATGAAAGTGAAGAAATGAAATAGCTGAATCAAAATTTTGAATAAGCAAATGGATTTACTCGTTTTCATGTTATATATGAAAATGAGGAGGAATAAAAAGGAAATAGCTGAATAATAAATTCGATTAATTCGTTTTCATATTATATATGAAAGTTTAAACAAAAAAAAAAGAAATAATTGAATCAAAATCTTGATTAATAAGATAAAATAAGTTCGTTCTATCTTATATGTCAAAACGAATAGAAAAAAAAGATATCGGTGATTGAGTTCGCAAGACTGAAATAAGTCGATTCCATTTTTTATCATATATGAAAATGAATGGACGAAACAAAATAGTCGAATGGCAATCTTCAACAATACAATAGATTAGCTCAGATTCATATTATATATGAAAATTTGTAGAAAAAAAAGAAATAGCTGAATCTAAATCTTGAATACGAAAATAGATCCACTCTGTTTCATATTACATATGAAAATGAATGAAGGAAAAAACAATGTAACTGAATAAGAATGATGAATAATGCAATAGATCGACATCGGTCCATTTTATGTATGAAAGTATAAAGAAAGAAAAAAAGGAAACAGGTCAATCAGAATCTCGAATAATAGAATAGTTTGCTCGTTTTCATATTATATATGAAAGTGGAAAAATGAATTAGCTGAATGAGAATCTTGAATTATAAAATAGGTTTGCTCGGTTTCATATTATAGATGAAAAAGAATGAACGGAAAAAAAATGAAATAGCTGAATCAAAATCCTGAATAATATAATAGATTGACTCAGTTGTATATTATATATGAAAATGAAAGAAAGGAAAAACGGGATTAATATAATTAAAAAGATTAACAAATAAAAAAGAATATGACAATAACTGAATAAAAAAAGATGCAAAATAGATATGAATATAATTGAATATATATTTATGTTCTTTAAATGTATCATGCAATATGTTTATTTATATAAATGACAAGTTCAATGATCAATATCATTCTTATGATCATTAGCGACATTGACCCATTCATCGACACTGTCGTTGTCGGTATCAAAAGAATCATGATTGACAATGTCGTACGAATACATTGTAAAATTATCATCTTCTTCTTGACCTTCTGTTCCTTCTTCTTCTTCTTCTTCACACTTTTCTACTTCACCTTCTGTTCCTTCTTCTTCTTCACCTTCCATTCCTTCTTCTTCACCTTCTTCTTCACACTCTTCTACTTCACCTCCTGTTGTTTCTTCTTCTTCTTCTTCTTCTTCTTCTTCTTCTTCTTCTTC